TGTGCTCCAAATATTTGAAACATTCTATTTTGTGATTTATTGCTCGCCGTTTATCTCTCAACTTGTCTGGTGTCTAGTAAGTTAAGCAAAGTCAAGTTAAACGAGCTCTAAACACCGCTAAACCGACTTAAGTCTGGTAAAATTACGCGATGGCTTTCGCTATCTCAAACTAAGTCAAACTAGAACTGAGATGGATGACATTAATGGTCTAATGGTCGACTACTCTTCGATTATGGTCGCTTCCAGTCCACGACCATCCGGCAGCACTTCTCGTTGGACATGACTTACTTTTTTGCCTCGATTTTTACGCGAAAGGAAGCGCAAACCACTAAAGCGCAAGCACTCGCGCAGTAAACTACGCAAACGTATTCGCACTTTGCGAGTGCAGTAATAGACGCGATGGGTAATAGTCATAATTATCCTAAGTGCCAGTAATTACTCAAAACATTAGTTGGTTTTAACATTTAGCGCCGTTCGGACAGATAAAATAAAATTAAATTACGCTGATAACAACGGTCGAAGGGCGCACAAAAAGTGTGCAGAACGAATTGCGAATAGATTAAAATAAAATACAAAAATTTATGGTTACCTTTTGTGGAGTGTTGGGTTTTGGCTCTCACGTTCCGATTTTCTGCAAAAACCTAGAATAAGAATAAAGAACATTAATTCCATTGGAAAATTGTCATATAAATTAAAATTAGAGACAATTTAAGGAAATTTCTCAAAAAATATTTGCATTTTTGACAATTTTACACTTATTTAATTTAAATTAATTATTTCTCCTTTATTTTTTCCATAACTACTAATAAATAGTGTTATGATGCGGGTTTTAGGTACCGTGAATATAGAAAACTGTAATGTCGGTAATGACAACAATAAAAAACAGAAAACTGTAATCAAAAACGGAAAATACAAGTGTTATAATGTCAGTTTTTAAATTATTTTATACAGAAAACTGTAATGTCAATAAAAAACGAAGAAAACTGTATTTAAAAACGTTTTTCGCCAAATCTATTAAACTAACCTCAAAATTTTGCTATTAAAGTTCTTTTAATTCAAATTATTCGACTGTATTTGAATATAAAACTTTTTTTTTCATTATTTATCAATGAATATACTCTTGTCGATGACATATGCACCCATGTAATCAATAGCAATATAATAATTAGAAGTAATTAACCTGTAAACGTGGCCGTCTTCAAAGACGTGCTAGACACATCGCGATACGTCCGCAAGAAGAAATATGTAAATGCGCAAATGGAATTCGATAATTAAGCTCGCCCGGTGTAAATGTCACAGTTTAAGAGCCGCGATAAATATTAATTGATAGACACCCGATACGAGTGCATCGCGCGTCTGGGTGCGCGCGCGCGCGGGCATTAAGGAACTCGACCCTGCGTGCACGACTTGGATGCGCGACGATGCGCATCCGGGCGAAATTGCGATAGCAAATTGTGTTTTCTTCTAAATTCAATCTCCTCATTCACGCAGCCATGCGAAATGCACCCAACGCGTAAGTATTGTCGTGCTACAATAACACACACACAGTGCGTTTGCGCCCTTTTTCCTAGAAATAAATCGAGCTCGTGTGAAAAATACTTTCTTTGCGTGTGTAACCCGACTAAACTAGACCTGACTTATGAGTAAGTAAACTAGTAGTAGTAGTATGTAAGCTAAATCGAAATCGAAGTCGCAAAAAGCAGTTAACTCCAACGTGCGCAATGTTAACGACAAACGAATGAAAAGTGCTTTAAAACGTTCTAAAGTTACCGCTGGCGGTTGTGCGACTATGCGCGCGCTCATATAGCTTCCAGGCTGGCAAAGAAGCAAAGAAGTTAAATAATTAAGGAAAATCGCCGACGTAAATAGCAACCGGAGACCCGACGCTGCGCCGATATGTTGTGGCATTATGTCTAATTAGATTTGGTGTTTGTTTCTAATAACATTTAAAACAGTAAACAGCGACCAACGCCGGATGATTAGCTTTCTAGCAATTTACGGTAAAAAATAATTACCGCCAGACGTTTGACAAGTGAATAATCTAAGAGTTGGTAGTTAAAATAGTGAAATTTGATAAAATTTCGCTTAATTTTGTTGTGACTGGAAAATATAATGATTGTTTTTTCTTGGTAGACGGATATAAATTGGTAGATTGAAGAAGTTACTAATTTTCACCGATTTTAGTCCCGTAACGCGTCGCAATTTCGCTTGAGAATTTGTTAGCAAGCGTGTCTGATAGCCAACACAATGACCGGGAATATAGTGGTAACGCAGTGGAGGCGAAGCGACGCGACGCACCGCGCGTTAAACGGCAGTAAGTTATCGTGAGCACGTATTATTTGCGAATTAGGTATGGCCGATAGCCGGCACCGTCCTCGCCAGCAAACGGCACCGCCGGAGACTAATAAAGTTTTCGTCCTCTCGGCGGCCACCGCGGGCGTCTGCGCACGAGAGAAACTCGAAGGCGTCGAGGGAAACATCGCGCATGCATGTGCCTGACACGAGGGAAGACGCGTCCCGTACGTGCTTTACGGAGATCCACGAACATCATGCTCCGTTACGCGTCAAACGCCAACAATAATAACCACACACATAAAACAACATCGCGCAAAAAAAAATCGTATTTTCGAAAACGTTGAAATTCTCTCTGCATCTCCATCTGTGAATACATTTCGTGATTGAATGAGTTCTTATATTTGCATCAAATCTCGCAATCGCAAACTAGCTCCCAAGTCGCAATACCTTCACCGCACCGAGTTGACATTCGATCCCATGCATCGACATTCATCCACAAAGCGTTCATACGTTATTGCGCTCGCAGCCAGCGAGGTATGTCTGATGATATGCGTGTATGTTGTGTTGCCCGGAGAGCCCACAATGTAAAGTAGGTACACCGGCAAACGACACGACGCGCTTATAAACCACGCCGAGCAATAAGCTAAACAGCGCAACGACTGAAGAGGACACGAAGATGATGCTGACGCTTTGTCCACTCAACTCTCAACTCCGCACAGCTTCTCAACTTGATGCTACTTTGTCTATTGCGTCTAGTTAGTTTCGTGCTTCGCGCGAGTGCCGTCAGAGTGCGCGGGGTCTGGGCCAGAGGACCAAGAGTCGCACGATAATCGCTTCGATGCGACCATAAATTTTTCCAGGCTTTATGTTATAATCGAAGTTATTCAAGCGTGGACGCATTCGCTTATAGGACTGGCGACAGCAGCAATGCAGGAAGATACTGATAAACTATGCCCGGGAATAGTTTTCTCAGCGAGCGCACTACAAACCACTCTGAGCATACAGTAGCGCCATCTACACACATATCAATGAACTTAAATTTTATTTCTCGTATTTCTATTTTTATTTACATTTTAACCTCATTTTTTAAACAAATATATAAAATTAAGTTGGAAAATGTCAGATATTAAGTTTTTATGCAGTTTATCAATTAATTAACGCATATTTTCGCTTAAAAGCCAATTATTTGCTTATTACGCCATCTGGCGGGCGGCAATAAAAGTTTCTCCCGGAAATAGTCACGTTGACACTAATCGCTCAGTTAATTATATTAATACTAAATTAATATCATCAACTGCACTTGCCAACGTTTTCCTCTCGAAAATAAAAACCGAAATTCCATAGTACGTATAGTCTAACACATGTTGAATAATCGTACAGGCATTGAAAGCAATTTGCATGCGATTACGAATTAATACCGCGCCGTTAATAAGCCTGCGTTCGTATCGGCCGTTTGTGAATGCGAGTACAAACAGCACGTACGCTCGCACGTACAAACAGACAAGCAATAATATATCGTCGATGCCCGATTCTGTCTGTCTATAATAAGCGATAGAAGGCTCGAAAACGCTCTTGCGAACGCTCGCTAAAATTCAATTAATTAATCATCACGCTTTTTTCTACTTATTACTTCTATTACTGCACGCAGACGGCTCCGTTTGCAATTTGCAATTTATTATTTATTAATATACGCGGCGCTAATAATGCGACGCACTTATGCATGCAAATCGCAGAATATTATTAATAAATAAGCATTAGGTGCATATTATGCGCTTAAAATTATGCATTATAAATTCGCGACGATTTGTATTAATCAGAGTGTGGAGAGTGAGAACGGATCATATAACAATCTAAGAGTTTATCGGTAAACATCGGCGTGTATCATAGGAGTCAGTATGTTTGCTCTAGTGATCACAACTTGATAAGCTTGGATGTTGTACATGGGTTTTGCATTAATAACGCGTTGATTAATGGTTCTATATTAATATGTAAAATTAGATATTAATATGAGTCTATAAAGATATGACATTTAAGTATGATATTATGTCCGAGGCGAATATCAATCAATAGTAATTAGAAAATGTTATGAAATATTAATTTTTTATTTTTTATTATTCACACTTTATTTAAATGTGTAGGTATGTTCGATTGAATGTCTCCAACATGGGGAATACGGTGTAATATAGGCAACCAATATTACACACACACACGCAACATGCTACTTTAACGCAAAATTTATCTCGGAATATGCGCTTATCAGCCACAAACAAGTGTGCATGACCTCGACTATAAAATTCGTGCTCTCTTGTTATATAATTCACAGTTCATGGTTACCCAATAAACCTAATCAAACCATTCTTCCGAATTCAATGTCTAAAATAAAAACAGGAAATTACAATGACTGTTTAGGGTTGTATGTCCATAATTATCTAAACGACCTTTACATTTGTTCAATTTAACTATAAATTCAAGCAAAACTCGCAAAAACAAAGAGAAGGAGAGAAAAAGCATAGATTTGAAAATCTATGGTCGCATAGGCGACCAGTACAAACCGGGTGGTTCAAGGTTTAAAGTACCATGTATGAAATATGGTACGAAACTTGTCTCACATGCAGCAGCGGTCGCCACGCTGCGTCTAAACGAAAACGATCTAGGAAATAATCGTATTTGCATTCGCGTGTGTAAGCGTGGTGGCTCTGCTATCAAACTGATTCTGATAGAAACGGAATGCGCGTGTGTGTGTAAGTGGACAAGTTCAAAGCGTCCGCAGTAGTTGAGTCGATTCATCAGCGCCTGAACTCAGTCGTAATCGACTATTGTCGAGCAATAGACGCCAATACGAATCGGAGAAATTGAAGATAAACAAGTTCAGAGCGCAAAACGGGTTCAGCAAACTCAGAAGAAAGTTATAGAAATACCAAAGTACAAATAAATACATGTAAGTAATTATAAACTTTAATTTAGTAGTAGAAATATGTTTAAAATCATAAAGCGCCATCTGCGAGTGAAAATTTTAACCAAAAAAATTAAAAGTGAGCAAATTTGAGGTTAGGATAAATTTTTGACAGTTTGACAGCTTTGGTTATACAGTTAGCGTGTTTCAGCGCCATCTAGTGTTCTTGAAAAGTACTAATTCCTTCGTTTGTTGCCTTAATCTCAACATCGACAGACGTAGTTGCCACGTCACAAACTAGTAGTATAGTTTGTGATATACGAGGCGGTTTCGCATGATAGTGGTGAAATCGAGCATGACGATTCCATTACTGCGTTTGATTGCGGCTGAAGAAAATTGGCAATTGCACACCTCGCCCGATTTGCGTACACAAACCTCTGTGATTGTGTTTCTGTTTCTACTTCTGCGTGCAGTGTGTGATTAATTATTACCCCAGTTAACTCATGAAGTAGTTAGAATTGGAATTTAACCTACGTGTTTGTTTTTCTTCGCATTTTTTCGTCGCTGTGAAGCGAATAAATGCGGTAAATCGAGTTAAAAAAGACGTTCGGCATTTGGATTTAGATGATTAATGATCCGACGGTGGGACGTGTATTAAAATACATTAGAGCACTAATAACATTTGTCAGTTTTAAACTGGGTCGGCACATACTCGTAGCGAACGTGTCTACGAAGCTGTGTTTTTTTCGTGTACTGCGCATGTAGTACAAGCGATTTCATGCGATTAAAATTTCGAAGCGTGTGAGCCGCGCTGAAAATTTTTGAACTTTGTTACAGATATTTTTTGACGTGTGTATATTGATATTAATGACACCTCATACTGAGTTGTAGATATTTCCGTGTTTTGTTGAGTTTACCGAACACTTACTTAACTTAAGTCTGGTTAATCAAGTGAATGTGGAGAGTGGCGATATTGACACATATGAATCGATATTAAATTATGCTGGAAAACAACTAAATTTAATAGAAAACATTTAAATTTTGTTAAAATTACTTAAAAATCATTTTTGTTGACTAAATTTTGAAAGAGTTGATGCCAGTTTATTATCTTGTGGCCCTTGTTTCAACTTGAAAGCTCAACCTTCTTGTAAATTTCCTTCAAGTGAATGTGTGCGAAATTTGCAAAGAGCCTCCATACGTTAGCGTTATGAATGCGTCGCCAATACGCCGGTAATACGCATAATATAGTGCCGTGTTCGGCATAATGAAGTGAGTTGTAAGTTGTAAGCTGGTTAAGAGCTTAACGCATGCGTGCAAAAGTGTGCGCTAGACGCGCACATGTTGTCGAGCTTAACGTTTGAAGACGTGCGCAGGTTTTGTACGTTTGCAACTTGTTGCGCGAGCATAATTTTAGGAATGTGCAGGGGAAACTAAAACATTTCACTACAATAGTTACAAATATTTGTTTTATACGCTCATTATTGTGTTTTTTAGTTAAATAAATATTTTGTGAAAATATCAATAAAAGGTGTGATATAGTCAAATGTTTCAAAAAATAAAAAATCAGTGGTTTATTAATACAAAAAGAAATCTTTTAGAACTTCTGATTTACTAAAACTGTTTTGCAAATGTTGGCTGACTCCTCGCGCCTGATCGACTCTGAACTATTCAAATGATTTCCTTTATGTTTATTTAAACACGCATTTTCTCTACGTGCCCTTAATTATTTTCCGCTTGTTGACACATTTATCTGTGTATTTACCTTGCACAAAACAAAAAATATTTTTTCTATTTTTAAATTAAAAAATAATTTTTAATATAGTTCTCAATAGGTTCACGTACCTACCGTAGATGGAAGATTGTGGAATATGTAATAGCGCAATAATCTATGCAAATCTAAGTGTTATGAAGAGGCATTCTTTCTGTCATTGGAATGAGATGTGACAAAAGCGGCCGAGCGTGTGCAAATGCGCAAGTGTTCAACCGTAAGCAACACGAGCAAAATGTGCAAATTGTTTTGCATATTGCCTTGCGCACTTGCACTTGTCGTTGTCGGTTATACAGTTATAGCCATTCAAATTCCAATTAATGACACGTAAAAATGTCTTCATTATATGCGTACCGCAGTACAAACGCGTTTTAGCATAGAAAAGAAAGGAAGGAAAGTCATGTTAAATAGAATACCGCTCGTATAACAACTAATCACTTATGTAAATTCCCAACATTCTACCGTATTATTTTATTTTGCTATGAAATTATCAGAAAGATTTTTGGTTTTTGTTTGTTTAACTGACGCATGGCGTTTATATGGTTTTATACTGCACCGTAGGCAAATGCGCAGGCGTAAGCTCCACCCCGTGACTAAAACCCGTGACTAAAGTACTTTACTGGCCCGTCCTGGTTTAAAAAAACCACTTTTTATAAAATAACTTGCGCTTTAAAAGTGGAAGTAGAAAAAATATTAAACTGACAGGCAAATAAAACAAACCAAAAAGTTAATAGAAGCTCCATCACGCGTCAATAAAATAAAGTGCAAACACAAATAAACCAATCATAATAAAAAGCCGCTGAGCAAAAATCCGCTTTCAAAAATAAAATAAAACCCAGTGGGAATGAATGTAGATATAAATGGTGTGACGGTCGGTTGGTTGAAAGACACGAGTTGGAAACGTGCAAGAACTTGCGGAAAGCATTTAGCCATTTAATCGTCACCCAATCGTATCATCCAAGTCCCCTCAACATCTCACACGCGCAATAAAATCCACTTATGTGAGTAATTTAATTAAATTACATTGTTTAACATTTTACACGCCAAAATCATATTGTAACTTTAAACATATTGTATGTTCTGCATTTAAGTTCACCATGTTCTCATGGCACGAAGAAATTCGCCCAATTATTTAATTGAATTTAATTTAATTCATATTTTACGATTTGGTAATTAACAACGCGCCAAACCTTTAATTACATATTAATTAGTCAATTGTAAATATTAATTAAGCATAATTTGTTGTTTGCTAATTTCACGTCTTGCTAAATAAAGACTAGAGACTTGAGATGTAAAAGACTATTGAGCGATAAATTGTGTGCTAGAAAAACACGATAATTAACATTTCAAGATTGAATTCCATAATCGCAAAGATCTCTGGAATTCCAACTGGAATAATAACTGTATCGATTTTTCTAATCGGAAATACCATCAACGGCCATCTGCGGTAATTCAGCATCGCCTTAAATACATCGTTAATTAGTCGCTTTAATTAAGCCACGCATAGTTTTCTAATAACTTTAATTTATTAGTGTTATTGGTGCAGTCAGTCATCGAAACATTTATTTGTTTTTATTCAAGTAGTTTTGATACAAAATATCGATAGCATTAAATGGTCAATTTGTCAAAGTCCACAATATCGAAATTATTTTAATGTGAATTCTATGCGTAGCGCAGCGTAAATATCCGTTAGAGGTTAGAGTAAACAGAGATTTGTTTGAATCAATTTCATATTCAAATTTGAATTCCACTGCAACGCCGAAAACGATTTCTAACAAATTAGACAAAGCATGTTACGCTGTGAGATGATTTTTCTAAATGTTTCTATGGGTTATATACAAGATGAAATGAAAAACTTAAAAAGTAAAGATTTATATTTATTATGTTGATTTGTGTGAGAATATGACTGAATTTTTATGTATCCACACGGTATACATGCAATTTAAAAACAACTCCCCTGGTAGTCTCTAAATTCTCATGACATACGCAAATCAATCTCAGCGGAATCGACGCCGTATCGATCGGCGAATCGAACATGTTGAAGGTTTCGAAGCTCGCACTACTAAACGAGAAAAAAATGGTTTGTGTAACTTGCTTCATACACCCAACTTGTTACTCGAATTTGATTACTGTTTATGGTTAATTTGGATAAACAAGATTTCACGTTGCGTATCGCATATACTGTGTGTTATAATTCAGAATTAAATTTAATAAAATCCGCCAAAATAAATAAAATATTTGCTGGTGTTTATTTAAATGTACTGTGTATGTATGTCTGAAATCAAAGTATTGAGCTAACGTCGGCAGATCGTAGATCCCGGCGCTCGCGAGCTTTGAGCATCAATCGACGTCCTCCGCATTACTTTTCCGAGCGGCGAGAAGACGTCTAAACTAAAAACCGAGGCGAAAATCTGGGCGAAATGCGCTGGCGCAATAAAGAACCGCCGAGTGCTCGCCGCACCGCGCAATCCGGGCATAATGATTGATCAGTGTAGATAACATCGATTATTGACTGATGGATCCGTGTATCTATTCGGATCCGGCATCCTAATCAATTTACATTGCTCGCCATCAAGCCGTCACTCACCGGCCAAACTAATGGATTACAACAAGCCGACTGTGTGCGCGCGCGCCCACCAAGAGTCTACATATTCGAATATGTTGTAATCTGCGCAAGCGCATGTGAATTACACTTCCAAAATATGCATTGAGGTTAAATTTTAACAAAAATCTTGCATTTATAACCTGAAAAACTTAACTAACCTAAAAAATTGTAAAACGTCACTTTTCTCAGTTTAAGATTGCAATTTTGCAAAAAATATTAATACGAAACGTGTTTTAATAAACTTCGATACCAATTAACGCGATATTATTAATGAAACAAAGCATAGTTAAAGGGCAGATTTATGGTTTCTCTTTTTGTGTGGATGTGAACACGTCGCGTATTTTTTTTTTCATTCTGCAAGAGAATCAATGCGGAAATTCATCGCACACTATCATAAATCATAAATACGTGCGTCGTGCGTGCGCTCTCGTTTCACAACTTTTTCTTTATCAGAAACACATGTTTGCAATTTATATACAGTGTGGCCTAGCCATTATCAACCAAAACAACATCTTATATTTAATAAAAATCAATCCTCTTGATAAAATAGTTCAAAACAACTAAAAAACATTGCAAAACTCTTAATTATTCATAAACACCATTAAAATGAATTCATTAACATCAACAGTTTGACGTTTTATGTGCTTAGCTTCGACGTGTGCTTACAACTCACGCAAGATCAGAAAAAATGAAAGAAAAATAGGAGTGCTGTGGAGGCGCTGGAATTTCTGAGCAAAGAAAGAGGAATGAATTTTCGATGTGATGTGCCCGAGTCAATTTGGTATGCGAAATACCGTTTTAATAGATTTCTACAAAACTCTCATCTCCTCAGCCGTAGAGCTAGGTATAGAAATCGGTAACAAACCAAACGTGTATTACGTTTACGTGCACCATACGTGCGCACATGACTTGCGGTTAATTATTGATGATATACCGAAAACTATTAGATTTTATCGGCGAGTTTAGCTCAAGTTTTGAGTTAATTCTCTTTGTGTCAAACACGCCACATCAAAATTCCGCTAAAGTAGCATCTTATTACATGTAGATTCATATTTTTGTTGGCTAATGGCATGAAAACAAAGTATTAGTTTGGTATTCACGTGGCGTGCGCGACCGGCGAAATTCCGCCATCATAGTTTCCTCTGGTTTGTGCCGATTCACGTCGTTGGCTCGTTGGAAAACTGCTCGCGCGGTGAATTGTGAATAAGAACACAGAGTTTCGGAAACCGCAGCGTGCGCGCATGGCATTAAATCATAGCAACGAACGTAGGTGCTCCTTACCGTCGTCGCAGTCTTCACCTATGCGCCCGATAAAAATATGGGAATCATAGATGCGCGCACGCTGAATATATCAGAATATCATGGCGCGTTATGATCGTCGCGTGACCCCGCGTCCATCGCCGCCAGTATAGAGGTTTTTATTTTAGTGGGAGTTACTGATACACTTGGTATAAGGTGCATAACATTGAATTTGTGGCAGCGATGATAAAGTGGAATGCGCTAATCGTGATAGTCGTTTCATGTGTTTGCGTCGTCGCCGTGCGGGACCGCATAATGTTCGCTTTTTCTTAATGCCGCATGCAAATCAGTCGCAGGCCGCAGAACCACACTTTAGAGGGGTTTTAGATGTTTCCTGGCAGTAAATCATGTTTTGATTTACAAAATTATTGATGAGAAAAAAATTATTTTGTTTTATTTTTAAAAGCAGCGTAAATTTTCATCAAAAACCTTTAAAAATTATATTTTATGTGCCGAATTGATGCCCAGTTAAAGGGGAAAGCCAAAAATTTTAGTAATAATCAGATAAAGCACTAATTTTTGAAGAAAATTGATAAATAAATAAAAATTTTATGAAAATCACTTGAAAATTAATGGTTCTCATTGAAAACTTGATAATTTTATATAAATTCGATTTTATTTTACATATTTTCACTTGTTATTAGAAGAAGAATGTTTTAAGAATAAAATTCCCAAAGAAAATTTGCTAATCGAAGCATTTTTACCAAAGTTATAAATTTTTTAATCCGAAAAACACCAAAATGTTATACGATTTACTCTCGTATTTTGATACATATTATATTATTTCTAAAGTAATCACAATGTGAGGTATGCGATAAGACGGCGAAATATTTTGATATGAAATTCGTCCCCATGCGCCGCGATTGTGAGATCGTTCATGTTTGTACCTGACTCGCATGCAGACTTATGACTCACATTTCCATCGCATGCGACACGGCTCAACGCAGCACGACTCAACTAAATCCGATTTCTAAAAGACCTAAAACTTTGACCAAGTTGAGCTATTTTTCCGCGAGGCCTCCAAGTTCACATCATCAATTTATTGCACGCTCGCTCGCCTTCTCAAGTTCCTCTAGCCCCTGTTCAGTCACTTACGCGCACGCCGCGTTACTTTACTTACTCTAGGATACTTTAAGTTTAAATGGCGTCGAGGACACTTACCGTTCCGATTTCTGGTTGATGCTGTACGCCGACTGCGAGTTGAAAGTATTTACAATTCACCGCACTCAGTATTTGTAATGTTTCTGGTTGCAATGTTAGCGCGCCTGCAACAGTAATTTAGTTCGGCTTTTTATTTCGGCACGCGGTTGCACTCGAGTGTGTTTTATCTTCATTGATTTCGCTTGGGTCGTCCGGTTCTCGCAGCGAGCATGTGCGAAACAAAAGAAAATTAAGCATTAAACGAATTAGAACTCCATTAAATCCCATTTAACTGATGCTGAGCGCGCCGTGAGTGCCGTGCGAGCGCAGTTTGTTCGTTTGCACTTTCGGCTATTACTTCTCGCCAGCACCGCGCAACATTTAGAACTTTCAGCCATTTTAACGGTATTAGTCGAGGATGAATAAATTTGCGCCCCGATGCACGACACAATCACTACTAGACTAATACGAGCGGGAATCTTCTGCGCATTCCTGCTCCAACTGAAACTAATGGTTGCCAACCTAAAAAAATCCATAACACCAAACATGTTCAAAAACAATACCACACTTAAAAATCACTACAATTAAGTTTTAATTTTAAATAAACTCATTTTTGTTTGTTTTAAATCGTTTGGTAACCCTACTTTAAGGACAAATGTTAAAACAAAGTTAGTACATTTAGTTAGTAACACTGCAGTTAGTGTACGTAAATGTTTCTAACTGCTGGATATACAGTTGGTTGCAGATGTTTCTCAAAAGTTGTTTGGCTTCGATAAAGAGAAATGTCGATATTACAGGGCGCATTGAACAATCAGTGGGTGCCTAGTTTGGCAGAGCATTCGACGGTCGCTATCTGCGGATCGTGTACGCCGGCGAATGGGAAATTAATTCAGCGACACAAGCAAAAGGTGCAAAACCTCGGGCAGCGCGCCGCGCATTTCCGAGTACGTATATCAAATTATCACCCGCCGCATCTGACGGGCTCTGGCTTTGGACGCGCACGCCAACACCTGCTTTTCGCGCGCCCGCAAAAACATTAAAGTTTAAACTTTAATTCCGTGCACAGCGAAACGGCCCGCAAAGTTAACTCTGCGTGAAAATCAATTTGCGTTCCATCTTTGTATGCTATCTGCTGGGAAGGGTCCTTAAAAACAAAGTATTAATGAGTCAATTAACATTTTTACGGAAATCTGTGTTTTGTTACAGAAAACTAAATAAAATGAAAATTGGAATCCTTGGTGCTGGTGCCGCAGGGTTAGTTTCGTTGAAATACGCGCTTGAAGAAGGACATGAAGTGGTTTGTTTTGAAAAATCCGCACGTTTAGGTGGTTGCTGGAGCGGAGATGGCCGAGTTGGTAAGGACGAGTTAGGCAACCATATTAGCAGTGGAATGTACAAAGGATTAACGTAAGTCTACACATAGACAACCCGACATACATATTTAAATATTATTTCTTTTCAGAACTAATTTACCCAAAGAAATTATGATTTTTGATGGTTTAGAACACAACCCACACTCAAAATCTTTCGTGGGCCAAGCTGAAATCCTTCACTATCTTCAAACATACGCAAAAAAATTTAATCTGGCAAAATCCATCCGTTTTGGTCATGAAGTAATATCAATTGAGCCATTGTCCAGCGATCCGAACACAAGATGGCGATTATTAGTCAGAAACCTAACCAAACCTGATGAAGAACCCACCACACATGATTTTGATGCATTGATGCTTGCCCCTGGTCACTTTGTTCATAAATTCATAGCTGATATTAAAGATGCCAACGTATTTCAAGGAGATATGCTTCATAGTAATGATTTTCGTGATGGAGCCAACTACGTTAATAAACGCGTGTTGGTAATTGGTGCTGGACCATCAGGAGGAGATATTGCAAAACGTGTCGCACAACATGCCAAAATTACTTTTCAAAGTGTGAAGGTAGATTCTCATAAATTCGTACCAATTCATAAAGATGTGGTTGAAAAAGGGGAAGTAGACCATTTTGATCGTAATGGCGCACATTTCCAAGACGGAAGTTATGAGCCACTAGATGTAGTCATTTACAGCACTGGTTATACGTATATGGTTCCATGTTTGACTCCAGCATGCGGAATTCGGATTGAGAACAATTGGTTTAAGTTCCTGTATCATCATTGCATCAATATCGAGAGGCCTTCGATGGCCATCATCGGATTGCCTTATGGAGCCTCAATATTTCCGCTTGCAGATCTACAAGTAAGGATATTTCCTTAATTAAATGCTAGAAACTAATACATTTACATTGTGCTTCTTTTTCCTTAAAGGTTCGTTATTATATGGCATATTTAGCTGGGAAATTCGATTTACCAAGTCGCGAAGCAATGTTGGAGAGTGTAAGTAATGAACACGCTGTGAGAATATCCAAAGGTGTACCAGATCGGAATTTCCATAACTTTTCCGATTGTGGACGTGCTTTATCGGGGGCATTGGCCAAAGAATCAGGGGTCCGTCCAACTCCAAATGTGATATTCAATATTATGGATGCTCTGCATGGGGCATGGAATGATCAGGATAAATTTGAGATTGTTGATGATGAAACTTTTAATCGTACTCCTCCTGGAAATATTAATTGAATAATTGTACATTTATATTACCGAAACAATATTTTATAATTTTATAATAAATTATAACTTAAAAAATTGTCTTTTTTATTTCTTCCTAAAAATATTTTAAGTTAATTTAATTTTTAATTATTTTAATTCAATTAATAAAATGTGGGCTATTGTAGACGGGTCAATAATCCAATACATATTAAAATTATGTCACACATTATTTTGACATCATTACATTATTGAAACTATGGCCCGAGGCGGTTGTAACCGGAATCGAGACGAATTGCAAACGATACAATTCGATAATATACGAGTACACCAATATACGAAGTGATGTACGTCGCTACTGTTGCCGCTGCTCGTTTGTTGTTTATGTGGGACACCGAAAATACGATTTAACCTATTTTCAACTTTATCACCAACTTATCGGACTTACATTTAACGTCCATTGAACCAAATTGATGTACGGAATTTTAAAATTAAAAGCTCCAGAACATTCGAATTTAAAATCAAATTAAAATTAATCAGGAAATCATTTTTACAATCATTAATGATGTGTTTGTTAGAATTAACAAACGTTCAAAACACAATCTTGCACATGGAATATTTTGTTGACCTTAAGGAATGATTTAAAAATCGTTACACAGTAGGAAAATTACAATTTCATAAGCAAGGTATGAACTGTAACCCCATTGACGAAGGTCTTGCATTATACTTGTAACCAAACATGTTTTGCTCTTCTTGCATCAATAAAACTGACGTAAAACGTAAACTTTCGATGCAACAATAAATACAGTAAAAGTTTACACAAGTCCACAAGTTTAACTGCAATTAACTTTAATGCACAAGCGTAAACATTTCACACGTGTAGAAAAATTAGAAAATGATTAATAAACAAATTTATATCTGAATGTTTATATGATGTAAACATTGAAACTTATTAATAATTTCCCAGATGTAAATATGTTTATCCAATTTAGTTACAAAATACGTAATAACTAAAGTGTGCGGAAAAAATGGTAAAACCAATTCGTTCAACAGTCGTTGTTGTCAAGTTAACTTCGCTTATTTGTGAATTATTTGTTTTTTCTCGGCGTGGTAGTGATAAGCGACAAGACGTTACGCGCAAACGCTTGGTGATCAATAAACGGAAGCGACTTCCTAAAACTCACATATAAAGGCAGCCTCGCGCCGGGGAAATTAATCAGTGCTCAAGTGTAATTAAGAGAAGAAATTACCATATAGACAAGTGAAGCGAATTCGTAAATTGATTAAACGCATCATATATATTCAAATTAAAGTTTTGGAGTTGAATAAAAGTTGAAAATTTTTATTTTATTTTGGTTAAATGTAAATTTGAAAAATGTCGCTAATGAAGAGTATGAAAAAGGTAGCTGTCATCGGAGCCGGTGCCGCTGGCCTGGCTTCCGCTCGACATCTCATCGCCAACGGCTTCGAATGCACCGTCTTTGAACTTGCACCGGAACTAGGCGGCACCTGGCTGTACACAGACGATGTCGGAACCGACAAGTATGGTTTTCCGGTTTATTCTGCCATGTACAAAGGACTAAAGTAAGCTTTTTTGCTTGTTTTAGTTATATTTGTTTTTTAATGCATGAAAAATATTTTTTCTGGGGGATTTGGTCACTGATCAATTAGAATTCAATCAAAGTAATAATTTAAAAATGAAATTATGCAAAAATTTAGTTGATAATCGTTTTATATCAAAAATTATTCATAAATTCGTGATATATTTAGTTTTATTGAAGCAAATTTTAATTTTTTGCATTTTTAGTTAATTATTTTATCAAATCTTATTTTTAATCTGTTTTGCAACTATTTTAATCATATTACAATTAATTTTAGAGCAATTAAGTAATTTTACATATTTTTTGACATTTTTTAAAAAAACTATGAATTTTATTAGTTTCCCTGCCAAAAAACCTTCTCAATGAGTTCAAATATTTACCTACTTTAATAAACTTGCATTAGCCTTGAAATATTTCTACTCATAACTTATCACTACTCCAAAAACGATGTCTAGACCCAAATATGCGAAAAAATTCCGCGCTCCGTGTCAGAGTTTATCGCACAGACATAATCCAAACATTTTTGCGCTGTGCCCCAAGCAGACAAAATAATTAATTACCGCTTATTGTGCATCTTTTGCTTGTGCGCGGAATTAATCGATGGTAATAATCGATGCGCCGCGAAACCTGAGCGAAGCGCGCATCCATGACGACAAGTCGCGCGCCGCGTTTGTTCCATCCATCCGTGGCAATCGTTTTAATCATCTAAATTAACAACCGAATCGAGCGTGAACGCATGAACATCAATTAGTTTTCTCGAATACCTATAACAACGATTTTTCTTCTTCGACAATATTCTCATCTTTGACTTATCCAATTAACATTGCTCGATGTATCGGCATCGATAGTGTGATTAGTTATTTAAAATTTGTAATTTTAATGAATTTCCAATGTTTTTCAATGCGTATCTACTAAATATTTGTGCGCCTCTTAATTTATTTATACGTATGCACTTGCAACGCTGAGGTAACTAATGAATATTTGTTTTTTACCAGACGTGCACGAAAATTATTAATTACACCCACGTTATCAATCAATGCTCTCGCTCGGTACGCACGTCCGCGTGGCGGAATACAAATGATGCATGAAGTTACTGTAAACGCCAGAAAAAAATGAAAAACGCCGATGTAACAGAACGGATTCCTTCTCGGGTAGTCGGAATTAGTTGTAATTAATCTTTGAGTCAAATTTTCTTCCGTCAATTTTTAAATTATTAACGAAAATCAACTAAATATCTTTATCCAGAAATTATTCTAGTGAAAAATCTAACATTCACTCTAAAAAACAGTAAAAGTTTTCTTATATGAGGTTATGTTGTAAATTTGCTACTAAAAACACAGAAATTTACCGTTTCCTGTTTTGCTACATCATAAAATCCAGATTTTTACATCATTTTTTTTAATTATTCACAAATATCAACAAAATGTTTCAAAATTAATTCCAAAAATTATTTTACAAAGCAGTCAAAGTTTATTTACCGCTAAAAAACAAAGAAAATTACAGTTTCCTGTAATTTTTCTAAAATTACTAGGTTAGGACTTAGTTATAACAAATTTTATCATTATTAGCAGAGGCCGCTGCACACGTTCTTTGGCAAAAAAAGAAATATAATTATTATTTCTTAAATTTTCTCTCCAGCTCATAACAATTCCTACCAACTCAAAACCAAAGCACACTACCATGAAAAAAGCTCATACCTATGAGCATTCTCTGCGCATCTATCCGAATCGATAATAAATCACTTCTCCATTTTATTTCTTCTTGTTTTATCGCGTCGTTATCGCGCACGTAATAGTTTCAACTTCGCATACTCACCCATACGCTGACCAGCACCGGCGCGCAATGAATAACAGAATACACATAAACGTAAGCTCACTAAAGATGTGGAAGCACGACGAACAAATAATGAACTCGCTTCGAATCAGTGTTCCGCCAGTGTCGATGGCCACTGATTGCTTCGGACAGTCGAAACGCATTGAAAAATAACGCACGCCGAAAGAAATCGACGCCAATCATAACTTATGATTACTATTTTCAGAACCAATCTACCCAAGGAGGTGATGGGCTTCCCGGATTTTCCAATCTCTAGCCAGACGAAATCGTATCTAACACAGGCGGAGATTTTGATGTTTTTGAAAGAATATGCGAATGAGTTTAATTTGAGAAATCACATCAAGGTATTAATAACTAATTAAAACAAAAAATATTAATAATAAAATTTAATTTTTTGTTTTATATAGTTTAACCATCATGTTATTGATGTGGTTCCGTGCGATAACAATAGATGGCGTGTGCATGCAATTGACAAACCAACCAATCAGCGTTTAGAAGAAGTTTTCGACGCTGTAATGATATGCAACGGTCATTACAATGATCCTGTCGTTCCGGAATTAGATGGAGACGAATTATTTTCAGGACAAATAATGCACAGTCATCAATATCGTGAACCGAAAGGATTCCAGGATAAACGTGTGCTTGTCGTTGGCGCTGGTCCCAGTGGTTTGGATCTTGCTTGGCAAATATCTCGCGTTGCACAAAACGTAAGTAATATTTTTTTAATTTCTAAAAATTTTGAACAAACTGTATGTATGTTCAAGTAGTTAAATCAAGATATGAATAAAAGATGCAAATGTATACGCAAGTTAAGTATCACTTTTCAAATGCTTAATTTCACGTCGGTGGCGTTAATTAAAACTAAGCGGCAGCAACTTAGCTTATTAGTTAATTAGATGTAGCATTCGCAAAAACGAACGGTGAAGTACACCACGGACATGATTGTGTATAGATTGACAATAGGAAAAAAGCGCAGCAAACGCCTCAAAGAAACGTGAATATTAAGTCGGAGTCGGCTGCTAATTAGTGGCATTCTCACAATATCAATTATACGAAATTGCATCGAGTGCGCTTTGCATCGTGCACGCAAAAGGAAAAACGAAGCGTGGCGGTGGCGCAAAAAGCGCGAATGTGCGCCCGAACTAATTGACCGATTGGAGATTGGACACCGTTGCGCGCGCGAGAACAAAAACCGCGTCCGCCGCGAAAAAGAGGTGAGGCTGTAAATTCGAGATCAAGCCGAAGCCAAAAGTCGTCGGAAACAGTTAACATTTGTAACGATTGGCTGGTATTACTTGCCATTGGCTCTCATCACGTGTTGTTAGTATTTTACCAACACAACACACACGCTGTCATTGGCCAACATAACACGAAAGTTCAACCGCAGGCTGGGATTCGAACAAAATATTAGATTTCTAACGCTCGGCGAAATTTTGCGTTGTTGTATTGATTATGGACGTGGATGATGGCTTTGAAAAAGGCTTAGCGTAATTGTCTGCATTAATTGTTAGCTACACGCCTCGTTTTTGTGGATAAAACGTAATTAACGTCGGAGCCTGCGCGCACCGTGTCGTGCGATGTGTTCCCAAGCATTTTCGTAAATTATTAATTAACAGTTTCCCGTTTGTTTCTGAAAGCCGCGCAGACGCGCATTGCTCACCGGCCGTAAAACTTATTACTTACTCGCGGCGTGTGCATATAGTTTTAATGAAGATAAGTAGTCCTCGGCGAACTTGCTCATCTTTGAAGATACGAATACTATTCCAAGATAAATTATGTTTTTGCAACTATCGGAATTAGTTTCAAGTAAATCTATTACAAATAATTATTTTCCATTGATGAAATTGCTGCTATTTCATTTTTTAAATCAATTTTACGTAATTTATATTCATTTATAAGTTAAAATAATATTTTTTAATTAGACGCGAATTTGAATTACAATTTTTAACACCTAAAAAAATTAAACACAAAATTTGTTATCTTAAAACAGCTAAAACATTAAAATTTTAATATAAAACGATGTAAGGAATTTGTTTTCACTCCTATTTACACATTATTGAATCTGGTAGTTATTCCAATGATTTCGATAACATGAAACGACTTGTAAGTAATGCGCGTGGAGAAACTTAGCAAACAAGCCAAGATTAAACAAGCGGAAAACAGCAGCTAATAATGTATCGTGTGCACTTGTGCGAAAGCGCAGAATAAAAGTGCAAGCACGTAAATAAATGAAAATAAATTTTAGGTGCAACTCGTTTCACTGAGTTTTCCTTAAAACTTAAAATCTTGAAGATCTTGAAGTACTTTCGCACACGCAAAACTAATTTTCTTCAGTTATTCGCGAGAAAATTTATTATTTCCATTAAAATTTTAACTTCAAGTAAAATTATTTAAGAAATTAATTTTTTTAACCGATAAACCAGTTAAAACCTGTTTGAATGAATTGATTTTTAGCCTAGAAATTACAACTACGTGCGAAAACTCATTTGTTTCGTAACATTAATTCACATAATATAAAATAATAGACCATCGATAAATTGGGTCTATCAATATCGTAAAATCAAAGCAATTATAAGCGCGGATACACGACGTGATCGCCGCTCTCGCCTCCAATTGCATTGCGGCATCGTATTTCTAATATTATTACTGACTGACACCACCAACAACCCAGCGGTGCTCACTAACAACAAGCGCGTTATTGATTATCTTGTTTTTAGATTTATTGGAAATTCTCGCGGGCCTTTAAATAAAGGTTGCAACGCAACGCAAAGAATTTTTCAGAAAAAAACAACATAAAATTCCATGCGAATCCAAATGCAATTCTATGACTGTGTTTACTATGACGATATTAAGACTTATTGATACAAGAGTAATAATTTTTAATTCAAGGCTTCAGAAAAGACTTGCAGTCTTGGCTCTTGACTCAATCTGTGATCACAACTAACGCAATTTCGTTTTCATGGCGTTTCGGTTTCATTGCGTCGCCTCGCCTTGCATTTAACATCAATTAAACGTGTAAGAATCGATCACGTTTCAATCGGTTTTATTGCACCCATCGAACATAACTCTCCGACAAAGAATTTCATGCGGATGAGAAATTTTATTACAAAATGTTTTGTTTTTTAGGTCGTATTGAGTCATCATTGTAAAGAGCTGAAGACAAAGTACCCAGAAAACGTAGCGTTGAAGCCCGATGTGGAGCGTGTTGTGGGCGCGAACCGAATTCGGTTTATCGATGACACCGAAGATGACTTTGATGTGATATTCTATTGCACTGGTTATCGCTACAGCTTCCCGTTTTTGCACAAGGATTGTCGCATTGAGATCGTTGAGAATCACATCGCGCCGCTGTATAAGCACATGGTGAACATTGAAATGCCGACAATGTGTTTTATTGGGATTCCGTTCAATGTTTGCGCTTTTCAAATGTTTGACTTACAAGTAAGTGACTTTAACTTTTGCAAAAACATTTTATCTTATGATTTAAAACCTTTTTATTTATTTTATATTAATTTTTTGGTAATAATATAATAAAACTTACTTTTTATAGGCACGATTCTTCGTTGCATCCCTAAACGGTGTTTTTACACTACCTTCCAAAGAACTTATGTACGCCGATTTGTACGATGACTTGCAGCAAAGAGAAAACAAAGGTTACACGAAGCGACAAGCACATTTAATGGGACCAGATCAATTCGATTACTATGAAGATTTGGCAAAACAAGCGAAAACCACACCGATTCCTCCAGTTATTGTAAAACTACGTGATGAGAGTGTCAAACGTCTCTACGATGATCTGATCAATTTCCGTGACGATAACTACAAAATTCTTAACGATAATACTTTTGTTAAAGTCAACTAACAGTTTTAAACATTATTTTATTGTGAATTATTTCATGCCAACGTATTTTTGTAGATAGATATTTATATTATGTTCTAGTTATAAGTTTGTATTATTCTTTAATAAATTTTTAATATTGATAATCTGATTTTGTTGACACAGCGCCAAACCTTTTTAATCAATTTTATTGACGCGAGGTGTAAATAAAATGCACCAGCTGGTACATACTGCGCCATCTGTCGAAACGCGCTTGTACTTTCGCAAGACAAATTCAAATGCATGCTGAATTTAAATTAATCATTCCTATTACTGCATATTTTACTCATAGAAACATTATGTATATTTTGTAATATTATTACTGGTACGACTATTACTTATCAATTTCTTAATAATATCTCAATGCGCATTAAAATCGAGTTCAGGCGCTACATAACCTACTAACTAACCTCGCAACAATCTTGTTTGAATGAAGAAAACACACCGAACCCACGTGTTTGTCGATTGTCGTTACATTTCTGTTTCCTCGTGTTTTTCAATCTCGAAATAAAGTTACAACTCACAATATGGAAGAATATAAACTTGGTGCACTGGGCGACCTGATTTCCGGAGGAAAATCACCTGGCAAGGGACTAGGGAACAAAAAGTCGCCTAACAAACGTGCAGCAGGCACCCCAAATAGCAAGGCTGGACCTATTGCCAATGCAACACCAAATGCTAAACGCACACCGATGAAACGCAAAAGCAACGTGGGTCAAAACCCAAGCCCCAAGAAAGTGAAACAACTTACTACAGAAGAGGATGATGAAGATGATGAAGCTGAGGAAAATCAAAATAATTCAATAGAATTTAATCCTGAAAATGATGCAGCAGAGGATTCTGATGAGGATGAAGAAGTTGATGAGGAGGAAGATATGGATCAAGATGAAGCTGAATCAGATGAAGAGGGTGGTGAGGACAATTTAAATGAAGAAGATGATGACAATGATTCTGATGAAGAAGAGGAAGATGATGATGATGAACCTGAAGAACAGTCAAGTAAACTCACAAATGAGAAAAAAGGAGATGCATCTAAGCTTAGAGAACTCTTCACAGATAGAACAATTTTTGTTGGCAATATTAAAATTGGTTTACAAAAGAAACTGGTTATAAAGCATTTCAAAAAGTATGGAGTTGTTGAATCTGTCAGATTCAGATCAGTTGCTGTTGAGAATCCCATGCTTGGCAAAAAACTATCCATTCAGAAGAACAAGTTACATGCTCAAAGGACCACCTGCAATGCATATGTTAGATTTGCAAATGTTGAAAGTGCTCAGAAAGCTGTTGAGGGAGAAAATGGGAAAGAATTTTATGGATTACACATGAGAGTTACAATGTCTTGTACAAAGTCTCTTTCCTATGATAACAAGAAAACCTTGTTTGTTGGAAACTTATCATTTAGTAAGTTAAACATTATTCGTAAATCTCAAATGCATATTAATTTATTTCTGTTTGATTTATAGAGGCTGAAGAAGAAGCCCTGTGGACTGCGTTTGCTTCTTGCGGCGAAATTGAATCGGTGCGCATTGTTCGTGATAAACGCACGAATGTATCCAGGGGTTTCGGCTACGTAAACTTCAAATCACCCGACTCCGTTCAACTAGCTATGGAAATGGGAGATGTAGTTATATTCAATCGTACTGCGCGTTTGTCCACCAGCGAGTTTGTTCAAAAAGAAAAAACTCTCGACCCGGCTAATGATTGCTGCGTATTCATCGCTGGTTTCAGCGCAGGTACACCAAAAGGCGCCGTTATATCCGCGTTCCAAAAAATTGGGCCTGTCGCAAAAGTACGTTTAGTCAAAGATAAGTTCACACACAAAAACACTGGCTGCGGTTTTGTTACGTTCAAAAACACGGAAGCGGCGCAGACAGCGTTACAGAAAGAAGTACTGATCAACAACCAGCTAGTACAAGTACAAGTTCCGAGGACTACATTAAAAGGCGCGAGGAAAGCTAGAACTGAATATGATGCGAGTCCGAAAAAGTTCCCCGCGTATAAGGGAATGCTACATTTACGTGGGCCGAAGCCAAAAGGTAGAGTTGGTAAACCGTTGAAAAAGAACGAGAAGCGAAAGAGTACTGGTGGATCTCCACCGAAATCCTTCCAAGGATCGCAGGGGAAGACCAAGGGAGAAAATGATAAAGGAAAAGTCAATCGCGGACAGTTGATGAAGAAAAAGATGGCGAAAAAAGTAGCACCTAGGGCGTAATGCATTTTTTGTGTTATAATATGTTTCTTTTAACTATTTTGTTCCACAACATACATTTAAACTGACTTATATAATTATACCTAATCGCTGAAATCATATTTCCTTCGAATTTGTTTTTATTTGTCTAACTAATATCTGATAAGGAAAGAAAAATTATTGGTTAGTGATATGGTGAAACATGTTCAGTCTAGTATTAGATTGCAACATGAATGGGCGTCATGAGTGCCATATCAGAGGTTTGTCTAAAGAGGATTTATTGGCAGTTATACGAACAGTATGTTTCTTTGTGGCGTATTTCATTGTGCACTTTTATAATAACTGTATTTTTAGAGCAAATTCAATGAGATAGCGGATGTAATTGAGACATTCAATATTTGTGGTAGTGATTTACTCGTGAGTATTCAGATTTTTGGCTTGTTTATGAAAATATGAACAAATCATGGATTAAAATGTTGTAGGATATGAAAGAGTATGATGCTTTGCGTAAAGTTGGACACGCAAATCGCAAACTCTTTGTTGAACTTTTGAATTGTGTCCAAGAAACTCCCCAAATATTGTTTCCTCTTAAACCAACATTGAAACCAAGAGTATCTTTTATTTCGAGGCAAGTTTCATCGCCGAAAGAGACTAGTAAAGTAATTACCAATGAATTGAATGGAATGTTTGCACAATTAAACACTTCTGACGTGTTTAAATCTGGCAAAAATGTTAAAGAAGATCCATCCTCTATGACGAAACAAATTTTATCGCCTACAGAAACTTCTAAAGGAATGACCAACCCATTGAATGGAATGTTGGCACAATTAAGTAGCCCTGAAGTACTTAAACCTGTTAAAAAGATTGAAGAAGAACAAATACAAATTACAGAAACTGAGATTAAAGATGTTAGATTACTACCAGAAGTTGATTTAGATCAAATAAAAAATTCCGTAATGAAGATGTTGCCCAATATACTCAGTAGAAATAAAAGTTTTAAAAAGCCGCCACCACCTACTTCGCCAAAACCAACGAAGCAAAGAAATAATAATAAACTTCAAGAAACTACTGCAGCAGTTGTTGAAACAGTAGATTCAAAGAAAGAACCAACAGGAACACATCAAAATACTAATGGTTTTAAATTTGCTTTCTCTCAAAAGGAATTGATTGAATTAGATTCTAATCCAAAAACACTTTCGTTCGATGATCATAATTCGGATCAATTTTACAAAATACCAAAGTCGTTTTCACCAAGAATTGAGCGAAAATTAGTCAACAATAACATCCCGGAAAAAGACGACGATAATATTCCCAAAACACTTTTGTTCGATGGAGATAATTCGGATCAATTTTACAAAATACCAAAATCTTTTCCACCAAAAATGGAACGAGAATTAATCAACAATAATATCCTGACGTCCGATGATCATAATTCGGAGTTATTTTACAAAATACCAAAGTCTTTTCCGGCGAAAATGGAACGAGAATCAAACATGAATAATATCCCGGGAAAAAGCGACGATAACGTTTCAAGAACACTTTCGTCTGAGGAAGATAATTCGGGACAATTTTACAAAATACCAAAATCATTTCCACCAAAAATGGTACAAGAATTAATTAACAATAATATTAGGCGGAAAAACGATGATATCGTTGCACTTTCGTCCGATGATCACGATTCGGAGCAATTTTACAAAATACCAAAATCATTCTCACCAAAAATGGTACAAGAATTAATCAACAATAATATTCTGCGGCAAAACGACGATATCGTTGCGCTTTCGTCCGATGATCACGATTCGGAGCAATTTTACAAAATACCAAAGTCGTTTCCACCAAAAGTAGAACAAGAAGCAATCTACAATGATATCCCGGATATAAACGCCAACAAAGTTAACGAGAATATATACGAGACTACTCGTCTACCACGTTCAGACGATGAACCTCCAGAATTACCGGAGCGTCCAGCCAATCTGATATTTACAGCTAAAAAAAAACAAATCAAACAAAGACAGCATTCACCGGATGACGAATCAAACAATCACGATCACTTAGACAACGAACACTACAGGAGACTTCCAAAACTTTCCAGTCAGCCGCATATGCCACTACCTCCTTCACCAGCCGAGTCTCTGCTAGTGCCTCGAGACACACTTCGAAGTAACCAATTTTTCAGAGATTGCACTCGTTCGGAAGCCGTGCAACTACTAGAAACGAAAAGAGTAGGCACGTTTCTCTTGCGACCCAGCTCAAGACCACAGTTTTGGGGTGTACTGGTGCTTAACGGAGAGTTAGGCGTGCAAAATATTCCACTTTGTTATAATAATTACACAAATGAGTATTATTTTGCTTCAAAATCCGGAGATCTACAAGCTACACGTTTTAGTAGTTTTGATTCATTGCTTAATTATTATAAAGATCATGCTATTAATGGCGAATTGTTGCTAGGTTCAGAGGTCAATATATTAAGTTAATACAATAAAATTGGTGATAATAAGTCATTTACACCAGGTGAACGAAATTCCATGAAAATTTACTATTTGCTTATCTCACTTTGCTCATATTTGTACTGATATAACTATGCATCATGTGAAACACAACATGGGCGTGTATCAGACATACGTGCAGTTTAAACAAAATGGCAATCAGGTACTCGTATAAATCGCAGCTTTCTGCAATGACATCGGCAGATTTAGTCAATCAAATCAAAGGAACAGAGTTTTCTGATGTTTGTGATGTTATAGAATTGTTCGAACTCTCCGGTAGCGATATAAAGGCAAGTACACATTCACAATGTGTATAATCATACATTACTGATCGTACTTCTTTACTTTATGATAGCTGTTATCTGAATTAGACTTACAACTGAAAATTGGACCGCAATTAGACAATTTAAAACTTCAGAAGTTCCGGGCGTTTGTTCACGTCGTGAAAACACAGCCACATAAATTGATGTATTATAAAGAATTAAGTACATGTGCTAACAAAATGGCTGAATATTCTTCTGATGTACAATTTAAAGTACCGGCATCACCTGATTATGAAGTACCACCGCAGATTAGTTATACTAACCCATCTTCGGCCAGAACACCTTCAGTTTATTGTCAACTGCCGAAAGTTGACACCAACGCTCCATTTTTACCAGAAGAAGTTTGTTATTTGGAACCAATTAAGGCGAAAATACTTGGTAGCACTATTATTGAATCGCATCGGTTCTATAGATGTGTGGATCGAAAGCAAGGAAAAGAACTGTTGAATAACACACCAACTGGAACTTATCTTCTGAGACCTAGTGGGGAGTCGAGTTTTTTGGCTGTCCTGATGATACACGGTAAATTTAAGACGCAGAACATTCCGATTTGGTTTAATAAGAGTACTGAGCAGTTTTACCTGAATACATCGGAAGATTATGGCTCGTTGAAGACGTTTCGCACTGTGGATGAGTTGTTACAGTATTATACAGTTAATGATATTAATGATGATAAATTGTTGAGGAATAATGAAGATAGTATACCTCCTGTACAAGTTAAATAAATGTTGTAGTATAAAGAAAAATTGCGATGGAACCAAGTCTTTAACTAGTGAAAGTTAACAATGTTTTTTACATTTAAAAAGAATAAATCTCTGTATAAAGGTTGCACTAAAAGAAATACTAAATATAGCTGCGTTATAAAGAGTAAATTCATGTTAGTTCATTAATTAAGTTTGCACTGCGATTGCTTTGCTTCTATGACTTTTGCTGAATTAAGATATAATTTCAAATATATTTGGTGCCAAACGAAACGTTTTCGGTTGGCATCACTGATGCTAACCTAACCAAACAAACCCTTTTTAAAACTAACCACGTGCTTAGCAGTGGTAACCGCATTTTGAAAACGTGCTCTGTTCTCTTCGTGCGCTCGTCCTGACGAACACGTGTTTTTGTATTGTTTTCTTTCGTAAACGTGTTCCAATATAAACGAAAATGACCAAACTAAAAGTAAAAACGCCCAGCAAAGCTACCCCAAAGAAAAATAATAAAGAAGTAGCAAAATCACCGGCGATTACTCCAAGTAAACTCACACAGAAATCGCCTAAAAAGCAGAAGACTCCAGAGTCCCGCAAACGCGCCTCGAAAGCCGCAGAATTGGTTGAAGATGTGAGTATCCTCAAGAAGAAGGCAAAGAAGGAAAAGAATGGATGGAAAAAGCAACCAGAACCAGAAAAAGAAAGCGATTCTGCAGAAGATGCCGCATCTGTTAATGATGTTAAGGAAGATATTGACTCTGATGAAGAATCTGACATTGAAATGACTAATGCAAATGGTGGACTTAATGAAGATGCAGAAAATTCTGATGTAGAAGAGGAATCTGAGGGTGAAGATGAAGAGGATTCAGAAGCTGAGAATGAAGAAGCTAATGGAGAAGAAGCAAGTGATGAAGAACTATATGACACATCTACAATTTCTGTTAAACCTATCAGAAGCATGACATCTCCAGAAATCATAAAAGAATATTTTGCTAAATGTGGCCAAATTACAAACTGTCAATTAATAGTGAACCCTAACACTAAAAAACAGAAAGCATTGATTACATTTCAAGATGTTGATGAAGCCAAACTTGCTGTGGCTACTTTAAGTGGATCATTATTTCAGCATTACAAAATCAAAGTTCAACTTGTCCAAACATCTTGTGGCTTTGCTGAAGATGGCTCAATTCTCATCAAAAATTTGCCTCAAGATACTGGTATTCAGTCATCAGAAGTTCTTGACTATGCAAAGGATGCTCTGACTAAGAGTTTTGGCCCAGTTAAAGATTTATTGCTTTCATCAGATATGCTTCAGGCTACTGTTCAGTTTGAGGACAAAGCAGCAGCCACTGCTGCTTTAGCAGCTGGTAGTTTCCAGTTGCTTGGTTGTAAGGTGGATATTGTTCCTTATGGAGATGCTGCTAACCTACTGTGTCCCCTGACATTAGAGTTGTTATCTCTGGAAAAGTTGATGGTAAGTGTAAGATAATTACATAGATTATTGTAAATTTTTAGTTAATTAATACTTAATTTTTTTTAAATATTTTTGTAATTTCAGACGTTACTGAAGAAGACATATTTAAAGCAATTTCTAAAGTTTGTGATGTTACACCGGAAACCGTCGGTCAGGCTTCAAAAACCCATATTACTATTGGTGTTGAATCTGAAGAAAATGTTGTACATTTGCTGGGATTGAAAACCCTGAAAGTAAAGAAGATTCATTTTGATATCCTGCCCGACTTGGGTAGCAAACATTTCTATAATCCTGTCACCAAAGTGTACGGCAGACATCCAGCGGGTGTTTTCGTAGAGAATCTTAAAGTGAACATGGGTCATTGGGATAAATACAATGCGTTAAGCGTTTTCGGGCCCGTTCAACACCTCAACTCAATTAATAACAATCACAGCGCAATTGCTATCTATGAAAAGAAGAGCGATGCTCAAAAAATTCTGCTTGCTGAAGAGATTTACATTAAACACTTTCCTGTGTCTGTCAAGGCTGTTGATGGCGTATATAAGCCAGTTGAGAAACCTAAGTATGAAGTTGGGAATACTGTTTACATAACGGATAATGTTGGTAAGCATATAAAGATTAACTTTGTACATTATGGAAATAATAATTAAAATATTTTTTTCTTTGTTTAGATCCTACGAACGTTACGAAAGTGATGAAACAGATAAACATAATGAAGTTGCCCATTATTCGAATTGTTGAAAGTGACAATTTCTTCAAACCGGCGTTCTTTGTTGAATTTGAAAATGCAGATGACGCCCAAAAATTCGTGGACGCGACAATAGAAATCGACGGAAAAGCAGTGCATACTGAATTTTACGATCCGGCCAAACACGACAAAAGTACCGTACCTGAGGGTATAGTTTTGGTGCAGAACCTGAAGTTATTCACAGAGGAAGTTGATTTGTGGAAGGCTTTCCACGACTTTGGCAAAATCGCTAATGTTAAGATTCTAATTAATGGAAAACAACAATTGAGATGCGCATTCGTTGAATTTAAGGAGGCCGCCGGCTGTAAGAAAGCTGTAGAAGCTAAAGAAATGGACGTCAAAGGCTCAATTGTTACGATTTCTGTGCCCACAACTACTGAGATCGATGAACTCGTAAGTTTCATTGAAATTTTGATCATTTATACGTAAAGTTAATCTTTTTTTTTTAATTAGCGCAAGAAGATGAGATTGAATAGCCACAAATTGTATAACTACGTTCGGTACAACCGTCTTGATGCACCGGGACGAGGAGGTTTTAAACCATTCCGAGGAAGTTTCGCAACCAGACGGGGAAGTTTTTCACCAAGGCGAGGAGGTTTTATGCCAAGCCGAGGAGGGTTTAAACCGTCGCGAGGAGGAAGAGGTTTTGCACCAATCCGAGGGGGAGGAAGAATGGCTACACCAACACGAGGAGGAGGAAGAATGGCTACACCAACACGAGGAGGAGGAAGAGGTTTTGGATCAGCGCGGGGAGGCAGATATATGCATTGAAAATAATTTTAATTACTTCTATACTTCTCTATACATCAAAGTTACTTGTAATATTTGTTGTTCCAAGTATTACTTTCATTAATTGCAATGAATGCCTTGTTAATGTTATGGAGGTGTTTATAATAATCAACAAAAAAGTGTGTTAACTGAACTCACATCTGAGTTATGAATGAATGCACAAGTTATGGTAATTGCCTACAGTTATGTTAGTTATGGTACTGTAGCTATCAATGAAACGCGAATATATATCCTACATGCAGCTAATTGTTTACACATGATTTTTTTAAATTTAAACCTGTTTAATCTTCAAAAATAAAGATTTAATACTGCTCTCCAAGTGATTGCCACATGCTTATATGTATTGTGTAGATTTATGATTCAATAGCAATGAAAAAGAATTGCTATGTATGAACATCATGTATCTCCTTGATACCACAGTACAATAATATGAATAACATTGATTATAGGTTGAAGTTATGAAGAAATGAATGTCAGTTAGTAAATCATTAGATTATCTCAATGTTCAAATATTTTAAGGTTATCAGAAACGTTCTGTAAATTTTCTGTTTCAATCAACAACCACAACAAGGTAATTATTTCTACTATACTAAGATCAATTCAAAACATAGATTTCAATCTTGCAGACAGTTCTTATCCGGCCACTCACAATGCATTTGTCTCGCATCACACAGTGCTCAATTCGTTTAAAACCGAAACCTTTCTACAAATTTTACTCCTCTACAACAACAGAGTCTCCCCTAGTGCATGATCAGCCAAAGAACAATCTAGAACATTTACAAAACCGTTCGCTGATTAAATTAGATGGCCCTGATGCATCTGGATTATTACAAGGGTTGATAACAAATGATATCTACCACTTGCCCCAAGAAACTGGCAAACTTAGCAGTATCTATGCCATGTTTCTCAATTCAAAAGGAAGAATCATATGTGATTCCTTAATATACTCAATAGGTGATAAAGACTCATATATTGTGGAAGCAGATTCACAAATAATTGACAAACTAATGAAACATTTAAAGATGTACAAACTTAAAAAGAAGGTTGATATTGATTTGTTAGATTCATACAAAGTTTTTGCACTGTATGACCCCAAAGATGACAAAGGACCAGTGCCAAAGCTTCTAGAATGTTCCAGAGAATCTTCAAGTAGTGCAACTAATGGCACAGTTTTGAAAGACAAATACTTATTTTCTGATCCAAGGGTGCCTGCACTTGGTTGTAGACTTCTCACAAAAAACATTGAAACTATTCCTCCAGAATTGTGTGTGAGTAATGTGAATCCAACTACTGGTGCGAATTTTCGATGGCTTCGATACACTCTAGGTGTTGGTGAAGGAATAATCGATATACCGCCACAAATTTGCTTTCCTCTAGAACACAATTGTGATTATATGAATGGCTTGAATTTACACAAAGGATGTTATTTGGGTCAAGAACTAACTGCAAGAACATATCACACCGGCAAAATTCGAAAAAGACTAATGCCTTTGTTTTTAAAGAAAGAAATAAACCAACCACCATCGGATTTAAGTTTGTATGATGATAAAAAACAAAGTTTAGGAAAATTACGAGGTGTTCAGTTTAATGCAGCCTTGGCATTACTCCGAATGCATCTGGTTGTTGATATTGAGATATCTGTGGGCGAGACTCATGCAACTACAAAAATTCCACATTGGTGGCCTGGATTCAAGACTGCTAAGCTAAAAGATGAAATTGCTGATAAATCATGTTGAAATCAACATTATAAATAGAATATTGTTTCTCTCACAGGGGATGACTTCACTAGAGAATGATCAAACTCCCCAAAAGGAAGAAACAGATAAATTAGTAGAGAACTCGACTGAACCTGAAGAAAATACTGAAGTTGTTGAGGAAAAGAAATACTTTACATGCTCGAGTTGTAATCTACGCGAGGAATACGAGTATTTTGGTCAAGAACCACCGTATACGAAGAGGTACAAGTTAAATGAAGATTGCTATGTGATTGAAGATCCTTTCCAACCGCCAAGGCAAGGAGAGTTCATCATTTTGGGGGCTCATTGTCAGGATTGCAATAAACCAATTTGCAGAGATTCAATTTGTAGTTTCTATTATGATGGAACCTACTGTATTTCTTGTGCCCGGTGTAAAAAGTTTAGTTTTCCAAGTGTTATTCAAGAAAAATTGAATAAAGTCGTTTTATAAATGAATATTATTTGTTTTCTTAACAATCTGAACCCCAAATTAACATTATAAACTATTTTGTATCATATATTCCCGAGAGTTCTAGAAATATTCCTCTGGGTATAAAGGGAGCGTAAGGTTACTGCTTCTAGCGCCTTCTAGAACCGAAGTTTCTAGAATATTGTCAATTAATTGATAATTAGGCATATCTATGAGTAAATACAGATATATTAGATTAAAATATAAACTTTTCTTCAATTTCTTCATTTTTTTCTTTAAATTTAAAAAGTTTTTATTAATTTAACATGAATTTTATACTGAATTGACTTTTATTTATCAGTTTTTCGCTATATCTTCGAAAATTGTTTGTATTTTGTTTGAAAAACAACGCCTACTAATCATAAATATTCAATGTTTACTAGATTTGTCTCGAAAACTTCAATATTAGCTCAATTAATTGAAATTCGCGAAGGTTTCCAACGCAGTTTCCTGACATTTCCCGACCTTTCTAGATGCATGCGTGCTCTGTTTCACAAGTAAAATCATAGCGAGGCACAACAAGGACAGCGCGCTCGAAAACACGAGAATAACCGAGAATACAATCGAGAACGTTCGAGAAAACTTTGTCGGGAATATATAAGCGGACGCTCCGAGCGGCAATTCAGTTCAATTCAAACAAGCGACAAGTAAACAACTAAACAGAACAGATCAAGTTCTCTGCGACCTAAAGCGATCAGAAATTGTTTTCATCGGCTAACAATAAATTATCAGTTAATATCAAATCAAGTAAAGTGAAAAAAGTGAATACAATGTCTTCATCGAAAGCAATTGGCATCGACCTGGGTACCACCTACTCCTGCGTTGGAGTGTGGCAACAGGGAAAAGTTGAGATCATCGCCAACGACCAAGGCAACCGAACCACCCCAAGTTATGTTGCCTTCAGCGACACCGAGCGACTCATTGGCGATGCCGCCAAGAATCAAGTGGCGATGAATCCAAGCAACACCATCTTCGACGCGAAACGACTGATTGGGCGCAAATACGATGATCCCAAAATCGCTGCCGACATCAAACACTGGCCCTTCAAAGTGGTAAACGACAATGGCAAACCAAAGATTCAAGTGGAATTCAAAGGTGAGACCAAAAAATTCCCACCAGAGGAGATTTCTTCGATGGTTTTGACGAAAATGAAGGAAACCGCTGAGGCATACCTGGGACATCCGGTGAAGAACGCAGTTATTACCGTTCCCGCATATTTCAACGATTCTCAAAGGCAAGCTACCAAAGATGCGGGTGTTATTGCCGGTATAAATGTTTTGAGAATCATCAATGAACCAACCGCAGCGGCTTTGGCTTACGGTTTGGACAAAAATTTGAAAGGGGAACGAAACGTTTTGATTTTCGATCTTGGTGGAGGTACCTTTGATGTATCCATCTTGACTATTGATGAAGGATCCCTCTTTGAAGTTAAATCAACTGCTGGTGACACTCATCTTGGCGGTGAAGATTTCGACAACCGTTTGGTTGATCATTTTGCTGACGAGTTCAAGAGAAAATACAAAAAGGACCTGAAAACAAATCCCAGGGCTTTGAGACGTCTTCGCACAGCTGCCGAACGCGCAAAGAGAACCCTATCGTCTTCTACTGAAGCCACGCTTGAGATTGATGCCCTGTTTGAAGGAGTTGACTTCTATACCAAGATAAGCCGCGCTAGATTCGAAGAATTATGTTCGGATCTCTTCAGAGGAACATTGCAGCCAGTGCAGAAAGCTTTGGCAGATGCCAAGATGGACAAGGGACAGATCCATGACGTGGTACTGGTTGGCGGTTCAACCAGAATCCCGAAAGTTCAAAGTTTGCTGCAGAACTTCTTCTGTGGTAAATCTTTGAATCTATCCATCAATCCAGACGAGGCAGTTGCTTACGGAGCTGCAGTCCAAGCAGCCGTTTTGAGTGGTGACACTGATTCCAAGATCCAAGATGTCCTCCTCGTTGATGTTACTCCACTTTCCATGGGAATTGAAACAGCCGGCGGGGTATTATCGAAGATCATCGAGAGAAACGCACGCATTCCATGCAAACAATCGCAGATGTTTACCACCTACGCAGACAATCAACCGGCTGTCACCATTCAAGTCTACGAGGGTGAACGTGCGATGACCAAAGATAATAACTTATTGGGGACATTTGATCTCACTGGAATTCCGCCAGCTCCACGTGGTGTGCCCCAAATTGAAGTTACATTTGATCTAGACGCGAATGGTATTTTGAATGTTTCTGCGAAGGATACCAGCTCGGGAAAACAGAAAAACATTACCATCAAGAATGACAAGGGTAGACTATCTCAGCAGGATATTGAAAGGATGCTGGCTGATGCCGAGCGGTACAAATCAGAGGACGAGAAACAGAAGAACCGTGTTGCGGCTCGTAATCAATTGGAAGGTTACATTTTCCAAGTGAAGCAAGCTGTAGAAGATGCCGGGGATAAACTCAGTGAGGATGATAAAGCTAAAGTTAGGACTGAATGCGACAATGCCCTGAAATGGTTGGATACTAACACTCTGGCTGAGCAAGATGAGTTCACCGAGAAACAGAAGGAGCTAACGAAGATCTGCAGCCCAATCATGAGCAAGTTGTATCAACAAGGAGCTCCCGAAGGTGCTGGACGTCAGGGTGGCACATGCGGACAACAAAGCGGTGGATTTGGAAAAGGAGGTGGACCTACCATTGAAGAAGTAGACTAATTTATCAAGTCTAGAATAGAAATATTTATGCGTAACTTTTGTGATTGGTAAAACTTAAATTATTCCTGTATTATTAGTTCTATAATAAAATAAAGCATTTAAAATATAATCTATGTTTTTATTTATTTATTTATTGTTCCCATTCAAATTAAGCGGTGCTATATTGATACTGTTGGGACCATCATCATGCAGTGTCAATCCCAGTTCATTCAGAACAGCTGAATCAAGAGCTCCTTGCTTATTTAAAGAAGCAATGATTTTTTGATTCTCTATGTTGTTCTCTAAGATGTTGCGGATTGCAAATACTACCCATTGAATTATAACTGGAAAGAAATTTTGATTTTTTCATACATTGTGACTTGGTGCGGAAACATCCGAAGAGACAAACAAAGATAGGTTCCTCTCTCCTTTCTCGTTTGGACTTCGGTTCGGTGCTACCAATTATATGTATAATACATCCATACATGTTAATAATTAAATGTAAGTTACTTACATGGATTCCTCCCGTCTATATTGCAACAATCCAGAAGTAAAGGAATAACATCTAATTCTCGTATCTAAAATAAAAATATTATTATTCCATTCTTATTGTGTTTATTATATCAATTACTCACTTCATCTTGATTACATCTCATTTTCCACGCCATATTTCCCAGTATTCTTATCATATTAACTCGAAAACCAAAAGCTGGATGCTCTTTGATGTCTCCTCCCATATCCTCAACCTTAGACAACTTCCCAATCGGTGCAAAATGATTATTTCCTTCTTTTCCAGCGTCATGTATAGACTTCAATAAAAATGCGCAGTTAATCAGTAAGCTACGGTCGTATTGAATAAATCTCAGGCACTGTTCATCTGAACTTAGAGAAGCAATCACATCAGACAAAAGGGAAACCTCAAATGGTTCAATCTGGTTAATATAATCAGCAACTGTCTTCAGTATACAATCTGATGTTTTTTTGAAATGTGATGTTAACAATTCAACATTCTTTTTTGTCCAAGAAATTAGTTCCTTTTTATGTTGTAACTCTTTTAATTGTTGTAAAATTAATATCCTATATTGGACATCTTTGATATCATCATAGTACTTGAACACTGTACCATTTTTGATGAATAAATCCAACAAAAAGTGAGCAAATTCATTATTCTCTTCTTTTAGTAAAATCATTAACAAGTCTAAATCAACGGTGAGCTCATCATTAACCAAAAAGATATTGTAAGCAAGAGCAAACATTTTATCAGATAAGTCCTTGTTTTCAATATACACTTTAAAATCTAATGAAGTCCATATTATCTTTGCATTATCCTTGTTGCCAATACAAATATTAATTAGGAATGTAAGCAAAACATTTTTTAAAGCAACTGGGTACTTTTCATTGCTTAAAATATCTTGATAAATAATTATGAGTTGTGTTTTTGAAGAATTGGCAGCCAATATTTGGTATTTTATGTCTATGTTTTTGATTGCACAGTTTCTTAAACATCTGATAGCTTCTTTAAGTAGCAAGTGATTTGATGTGCTATGAGCCTTTAGAATTGTATCATTCAATAACTCTACATCCTCAATAGTAGCATTTAAACTGAAAAAGTTCTGTTGATAATTTTTCATCTACAAAAATGTATATTACTTACGATTGAGGCTCATTGTTAAGAATTTCCAAGATATATGACTGTTTTAAACTAGCTAAGAGTTTGCCTTTATCATTTTCAAGTTGAATTTGTTTTATTTTATTTGGATCCATGGTTTCCACCATTTCCACTGCTAAGCATAAATAAAATCAAAACATTTGCTTCTGGATGCTGAGTTTATTGGTGTGTGCATTATAGGTTAAATTTGAAATTATTCAAGTTGTTTCAAGGTTTGTGAACAGAGTTTTTAAGTAAGTAAAATAAAAGTGAGCATTTATTATTTATGAATTCTATTTATTTTCTGTCAGATTTTAATTTTGTGCGCACAAAATCGAATTAACTAAACTACATTTTCCTAATCAAAAGACATCATTTGGTTCTTGTTTAGCTGGTCAGGAATCTAAACAGCAGGGGTCGTGGGAGCAGCCGGGGGGGCAGCCGTGGCTAGAAATATATTAAAATTAAATAAAATAAAATCTGCTACTATATGAATTAATTAATTACTTGAGCGCCTGCATGCAGGTCCATGAGCTTGACCAGCTGGATGAACATGGGCTGGTTGGTCAGGTTCAGGTACCGGGGATGCTGAGGCAAAGCCCAACTGTAAAAATATATAAATTATAAAAGATACAATTAGTAACGAATTAAAATATAGTTACAGATGAAAATTGTTTTAACTTACCAAAGCGCAGGCAACCATTGCGATGAGGACGAAGCAATAAGTGAATTTCATTTTTGTAGATTTGGTTTTGGTTTTCTGATAGAAATGATTGCTCTGGATGTTCAGATTACTATGATATCAACTATTGCAGATTGCTGGGTATTTATAGTTAAAAGATAAACTGCTTTTTAATAACATGACAGCATAATCTGAAATCAAATGAATAATACAAAGGAAACGGCTTTATTCATGATTGCCAGCTGAATACAGTTGAAATAAAATGTGATAATTGCTTAAAAACATCATTGATTACTATGACCATACTTGTGCTTGCGTTCAGGTGTCACCAAAGTCAGCAATAGTGTTTGATATTAAATAATCATTACATAAAAATAACATACATGCACACATTTCCTGTTTATTCCATGTTTTAACGATCAATCATACAAACTTCACGTGAAGTTCAGCATTTCCTCCTAGTAATTAATTTAATTGAATTGAAACATAAAAATTGAGTGCAATAATGTATCTTTTACTAATTTCTTGTACGTTTTTCGTATTTTATTCTTTAAAAGTCAAGAATTCGAAATAATTATTTAGGGTAAGTGGGGATAACCTTTAGTGGACTTAGAGGTTTGGTTGTCATTTGTCATTTTGTTTGCAAGCGAAACTAAGGAACACAGTGACAGTGTAGAATCCGGCGAATTCTTCGAAAATCTCTAATTAAACAAATAAATCAAGGTATATATGTCTTGCAAAGGGTTTAACTATAACAAAATAGTATAAATATACATTTTGAACATATTTAAACTACAATTTCTTTGTAGTTTTATTAATATTACACGAATAAAAGCAAGTCATCAACGTAACCTTACAAATTTTCATACTGGTTTTCTAAGTTTGTAATCGTTTTTTACAGATGTTCCTGACCAGAAGCGAATACGACCGTGGTGTAAACACCTTCTCGCCGGAGGGTCGTCTCTTCCAGGTGGAATATGCCATTGAAGCAATTAAACTTGGCTCAACTGCTATTGGAATCAGCACTAATGAGGGAGTTGTTTTGGCTGTGGAGAAGAGAATTACTTCACCACTCATGGAGCCTACCACCATAGAGAAGATTGTTGAGGTTGATAAACACATTGGGTGTGCTGTTTCTGGGCTTATGGCTGATTCTAGGACTATGATTGATAGGTATGGATATAATTTAGAATTCAAATTCTGGTTCTTATTGTTTATTTTGCCATTAATTAAAAACTCCAAAAACATTCCAAACATAATTGAAAATATTCAATTAAATGTTTAATAAATTATAGGGCAAGAGTAGAATGCCAAAATCATTGGTTTGTCTACAATGAGAACATGACAGTGGAATCCTGCGCCCAGGCGGTGTCGAATCTTGCAATTCAATTCGGCGATTCCGACGACGATGGTTCTGCGATGTCTCGTCCCTTCGGTGTTGCTATTCTTTTCGCTGGTATCGATGAAAAAGGCCCCCAACTCTATCACATGGACCCATCTGGTACTTTCGTGCAATTCGACGCGAAGGCGATCGGTTCCGGCTCTGAAGGCGCTCAACAAAGTCTGCAAGAAGTTTATCACCGCAGCATGACTCTCAATGAAGCCACCACTTCGGCGCTGACTATTCTAAAGCAAGTCATGGAAGAGAAGTTAAACTCTTCCAATGTGGAAGTCATGACAATGACACCAAAGGATTTGTTTCATATGTTCACTAAGGAGCAAGTTGAAGAGGCCCTCACGCAAGTCGCTTCAGTGGAACAATCACGAGGCGACTTGACGAGCACATCTACCACTAAAACAACTGCCTGAATTAAAATACTTGTTGATGCAAGTTACGCATACTTAAGTAAGGTCATATTGTTTGGTTTATATAATATGCATTGTATTTTTTAATAATAATAATAATTACTTGGTCCACCAGACATTCAAATTAATATTAAAGCGCCAGTTATCAATTAGAATTATTTTATTAAGATATTTCTGGTCACCATACAAAGAAAATTTGTCAAGTTAACTTAAATGTAAAAGTTATTTTCAGACTTCTCTATGATACTTCTAAAACATCACATGGCAACCATCTTGAGCTCTCAAGTGCTCCCCAAAAGCTGACATCCTGCTCGATTGTTTCTTTGTTTATCTTTTCGACGTCAAGAGGAATTGTGTGTTCAACCAACTCCAAATCGTTGTCCATCTTTTTCTCCATTTGTACATTTGCTACCATGTGCGAGTTTTCGGTCATTTGCGAAGCATCTCCACCGGCGTTGCTCTGATCATTGTAATAATTCTGCCACGTTGCGTAATTCTGCCAATATGCTGTGGTCGCATCATAATATTGTGAATAATCTGTGCTGGTAGTGGTGGTTGATGTGAAACTGGGAGTAGATGGCGTCTCAGTTGTAGTTGTAGATCCCTTAGGTTTTGGCACAGCATTGCAAATTTTCAGTGCTTTAGTGCCTAAACCTATGTATCCATTCATTGAGATAAGACTGTCCTTTTGTTCCTCCTCACTACCAAACCGGACAAAGCCGTAACCACGACTAAAGCCACTGCTGTCAATTATTACTGTAAATAAAGAAATAATCACGTTAATAATAAAGTTAATATCATATGCTAAAAGAAAACATGTGTTTTAAACGTTGTTTGAATACCTTTTGCAGTTTTAATAGTGTTATATTTAGTTGAAAACACTCTGTACAAATTGTAATCATCCACATCAGGACTTAGATCTCCAACCCAGACAGAAAATTCACGATCCAGCAAAGATCTTCCTGTGTTACTAGCGTTATTTAAACGAAATCTAACTGAAGGAGTTGTGCCAGGTATGGGCTTGCCATTTAGTTTGTGCATAGCATCAATTGCTTCAGCATCAGTAGCGAAGTGGACAAAACAGTAACCAGCTGGTTCTCCTGTGAACTTGTTCCTCATCACTTTAACATTGAGCGGATTTTCGCCCATTTTTCTGAAGGAGTTAATAATGAATGTCTCTGTCATGTAGGGCTCCAACTAAACACATTAAGGAAACAAATTGTTAATTAATATTAAATGAATGAATATTAATTTGTATTGTTTGTAAGATAGCATTAAATACATACACTGCCCATCCAGAGCTGACAATGCACCATATTCGCCATAATTACTGCTTTGGGTAAGCTTTATGGAAAATATTACAAACAATTTCAAATGTAATGAATACAACACAAACACAAGATGAATACAACTTCTTGGTTATGTGAGTTATGTTTTCAGTTTGGTCTCTGTCGAAAGCCCTGTCCCATTCAATGAAATATATAGATCTCTGCATATTCTGCAATTGTGAAACAAAATAATAAATTAATATATTTATGATACCATTTGCATCTTTAGGAACATTCTTTGTAAATCTAAATTTGATTAAATTTACTCATAACAGTATTAACAATGTTTCAAATATAAACAGTCTAGCGTCATCTAGGTTTGTGTTGTTGCATTATTTTGAATACATGCTATATACATATTCAGATTGGGAAGTGCACGTAAACTTGCAATACCCAAAATCGCTGTGCGCTGACCTTGCCTTAGTAGACTACTTGTTTCGTACCGGTTGCCGGTTAGACGTTTATCCATGTTCGTATAATTCTTAAGCATTTAATTCCACAAATCCGCGATATATTCCATCGATATGTGTGGTTTTTGATTGCAATGTGCGCCTGAGTCAGAAACATCAATCTCAACATTGTAGTGACGTACAGTGGCTGTGATGCCATTTTTGTTCCTCTACGTTGACGCTAGGCTGGTAAGTTTATTATTCAATTATATTTATTTAAAGTTACCCATCGCGGTATTTGCATGTTCTCTTCTGACTCTGATAGCGCGAGAGTCAATCTTAACGATACGTTATTGCCGTCCCGAAAAATCATGCGCCAAGTGCTTGCAAATTTTGTAATCGGTGACTTGTGGATTCTCAGTCGACTAGAACTCCCAGAAAACAACCCCAAACATCCCCAATATTTCGGTCATTAACCTAACATTAACTTACTACCTTAGTAGGTTCAAGCCCTATTTTCTTCCTGCATTAGTAGATTTAAACCCTACTCTCGCCTTGCATTAGTAGATTCTAGTCCTACCCTCTCCCTGCAATAGTAGGTTCAGGTCCTAACTTTTCTTTACGAGAGTAGCGGTAGAAGTGACTCGTGTTCAGAGCACCGTACAAGGGCAGCGGTAGAAGCGACTCGTATTCAGGGCACCGCATGAGGGTAGCGGTAGAAGTGACTCGTGTTCAGGACACCGTACAAGGGCAGCGGTAGAAGTAATTCGTGTTCTGGGCACCGTACAAGGGCAGCGGTAGAAGTGATTCGTATTTAGGGCACCGTATGAGGGTAGCGGTAGAAGTGACTCGTGTTCAGGGCACCGTACAAGGGCAGCGGTAGAAGTGACTCGTATTCAGGGTACCGTATGAGGGTAGCGGTAGAAGTGACTCGTGTTCAGGGCACCGTACAAGGGCAGCGGTAGAAGTGACTAGTATTCAGGACACTGTACTAGGACAGCGGTAGAAGTGATTATTATTCAGGGCGCCATACGAGGGTAGCGTATTTTATTGAGTATTTGATGTTGATTAAGAATTTGCGATTCGTTCAGGATATTCGAGATATTCGCAATTGAAATAAATTATGCTACGCGTAATATTTTCGTCTATCGTCGCGCTGTCGCTCATTTTTGTTTCATTCTTATCGCAGGTACAGCGTCTATTGCAATTCGCGCAATAGGTCGCGTGCCATCCACGCGCTGCCGGCTTTGCGCATCTATTGCTTTTATCTGCGGGGTTCAAGCAGTAGGTACATAGTCTTATTGTGAATTGTCGCATCGTAAATTCTATTCAAAGATGGCACTAGCTTTAACTAAATATTATAAAATAGAATTGTATTAGTTTTGAAGGCAGTTCTATTATCAGCGTTTGTGTACTCGTATAAACAACTTTCTTATCGCATTCGCCGTGGGAGATTTTACGCGTAAGATTCTCGTTGCGCTGTCGCATGGGGCACATTATAGTTTAGTTCTTATCACAAGTACCGTGTCTATTGCAATTCGCGCACAAGGTCGTGTGCCATCGACGCGCTGCCGGCTTTGCGCATCTATTGCAATTCGCGCAGAAGGTCGTGTGCCGTCGACACGCCGGCTTTGCGCATATATTGCTTTTACCTGCGGGGTTCATGCAGCAGGTGCAGAGTATTATTGTGAAATATCGCATCCTTGCGTGCGCAGTTTCGGCATGCTCTATTGATGGATTGCAGCCAGTTTCGTGCCGGTCTCTGACGCATCCAGATGTATTTCGCGCAACGCGTTTCGTTTTATTCGGTCATTACCCGACTAAGTCGTAATATGCATATGCAGTGTTACCTTAATAATTAATTGTGCGTTAAATGTCCCTAAATGTTTTTTTTGCTTGCTTGTGATGTTTATATTTCAAATTACAATGCTGCGGGTTTATTGTCGATTATTGTGTGACGTGGTCGGTCGCTAAATTAACTGGAAACATATTCGTGCTTGAGTGAGTTACTTTTACCTGACCATTGCGATTCTCAGCACAGGAAGTTTGTTTTTCTCCTATGTGTGAATATAATAACATTATCATATTGTATGAAATCTTTTTGTTTTAACTATATGTTTACTTCTAATTACAGTACTTGTCGTGCCCTTGCAATCCGATGAGCGCTGCATTGGTAAGTTTATAATTAAGTTATATTATTCTGTTTAATGTTTTATCACATTTCATCTGCGTGTTGCAATAGCCCGCGAATTAGGGGGGCCGTATATATTTCACTTAATGGTAATATGGAAAACGGATCATATTGCGGAAAACCTTTGTGAATTGTTCAAATGTATCTTCGAATTCTGATAGCGCACTTTTAAACACAATTTCACAACCTTTACACCATTACGAATTTTAATTATTATCTTGTTTTATCCTATAGAGAATTTTCCAAACTTATTTAGATTAACTAGATTAGATTAGGAATTTGAAATCCGTTCTCGTCTGTCTCTTTTAGTTTACGAGATATTCCCAATTGAAATAAATTGTCAAAAATTGAAAAATGTCACTTTTTAGTACTTTTAGTGAGGATTTTTGACCTTTTACTGTTGGAAATATAATTATTTTATATCTTTATCTGATAGAGAATTTTGCAATTTTTCATAATCAGCAATTTGTTGGTTACTATCGCCTTTAGTTTAAGAGATATAAATTATCAAAAATCGTCGAAAAAAAGTATCAAGCACCCCCCCTTGGCAATTTTTTCTTAAGAATTAAAATTTCATCTCTCAGATTTCCGTTTTAACTAACCTATCTGACAGAGATTAGTCTGTAGATTAAGACGCTGCGATCAGATCTTATTTATCTCTGTTAGTTTACGAGATATTCGCGATTGAAAAAAATGGGCAAAAATTGAAAAATGTCACTTTTTAGTACTTTTAGCGGATTTTTGACCTTTTACTGTAGGAAATATAATTATTTTATATTTTAATCTGATAGAGAATCTTCCAATCTTTCATAATCAACAATTCGTTGGTAGCTATCTCTTTTAGTTTAAGAGATATGAATTTTTGAAAATCGTCGAAAAAAGTATCAAAGCACCCAGCAGCGAATTTTTCTGCAGACTTAAAATTTCATCTCTTAGATTTCCTTTCCGCTATCTATCTGATAGAGATTGGTCGTAGATTAAGACACTTTGCGATCAGATCTTATTTATCTCTTTTAGTTTACGAGATATTCGCGATTAGATAAAATGGGCACAAATTGCAAAATGTCACTTTTTTAGCACTTTTGGTCGCGTTTTCGACAGCCAGAATATAATTTATTTTATATTTTTAATCTGATAGAGATAATTTCAATCTTTCACCAATCAACAATTCATTGGTAGCTATACTTTTAGATTTAAAGTATGAATTTAAAATCGTCGAAAAGAAAAAGTATCAAGCACCCCCAGCAATTTTAAGACTTAAATTTCATCCGATTTCAACATCACCATCTCGGTAGAGATTGGTCCGTAGATTGAACGCTGCGATGAGATCTTGTTATCTCTTTTGATTTTGAGATATTCGCGATTGAATGCGTAGGGGCAAAATTGCAAAGATATCGCTTTTAGCGCAGTGCGTTGCCAATTACTGGCAGGAAATATAATTATTTTATATTTTTGTCTGATAGAGATCTTCAATCTTTTCGTAATCAACAATTCGTTGGTAGCTATCTTTGGTTTAGAGATATAGGGTGAAAATCGTCAAAAAGTATCAAGCACCCTTAGCGTTTTAAGACTTAAAATTTCATCTCCAGATTTTCCCGCGCGACTATGTATACGGTAAGATTTGCGGTGCGTAGATTGGGCGCTGCGGATAGATCTTTTCGCGCGTTTGCGGATATTCGCGTTGACCAGAGACGGGCGGGCGTTAAACGGCGCGTGCGGTATTTTTGCGATGCGGTAGAATGGCACCAATCTTTTGTCGGCAATTTGTTTGGCTATCTCGCGGTTTGGGGCCGGGAATTTTGAAATCGTGAAGGTATCGACGGGCAAAATTTCATATAGAAGTTTACGCTCTATCGCGGTAGATTGAATTACATGCCGGGTAAGACGCTGCGAATCCCGGAATAACGGCCCATCTCTTTCGTTTGAAGATATTCGCGGTGAACAAAATGGGCTTTAGTACGAAATCGCTTTTTAACTTTTTAAATGCGCGTTTTTAAGAGCCTTTTACTGTAAAGTATAAGTTATTTACCGGTACTCACGGAAGTAGGAATCGCTTTTGATAAAAGCAATCGGCGGTGGGTGGGGAAATTTGCAGCCATAACGTTTTGAATTTTTTAATCGTCGAAGTATAAAACTTTTACTTAATTTTCTTGGGCAAAATTTCATCCTACTCCGTTTCTATCACCAGGCCAGGGGTAATGCGTGGGGTAGGAACGCTGCGATCGGTCTGTTGCTCTCTTTAGATTTTGAGGAGGATATTACGCGTTCAGCGAACAAAATGGGCAAAATTGCCGAAATATGCGCTTTTCGCGCGAAATTACTAGCATTTTTTCGAGCGCCTGCGCTGACTCCATATTATGCATACTCCATTTTAATCTGAAGTAAGAAGTCTTCCAATGCTTTTCATGTCAAAATTACCTGGGTACGCTTCTCTTTTAGTTTAAAGAATAGCCCATTTTATTATTATGTCGAAAATAAACACCAATTTTGCTTAAGACAGAAATTTCATCTCGGGTACACTTTTTACTATCTACCTGACGAAGAGATTGGAATACATGGGGAACCGTCGGCCGGTATTGCGCGATTGAATAAAACCAGGCAAATTTAAAAATATAAATTAATTTTTTTCGACTGTAAAATCCTCAGTATGCCTGTCTTTG